CCATATACATCTCCTATTAATCTTTAGGTTAGAGTCCTCCTAAAATGTATGACAATTTTGTTAAAAATAATGAAAGAATCCCTCCCTATCACAATATATATATATATAATAAGAACAATAAAAAAAATAATGGCCATGAGTTGCATATTATAAATGAGCGAGGATCTATTCTTCCCCACTGTTTTAATATTAGTGAGTGCCTGGACCAGCTTGCGTGCACCTTTACTATTCGCACGGGACAATTGCTTGACCCTACTAAATAAAGGAAATGAAAAAGTTCTATTAAGAAATAATTTGAGCTATTTTGTGGATGATTTGGATCATTGATTGATAGAAAGCTTCACCAAAAGATTCAAAATTTCCTTGACTTTATAAGAAAAAGTTAAACCTGCACTTGTATACAGAACTAAATATGTTGTATAAAATGCATGTCTACTTTAATCAATAAAACTTTTGCAAATCTTGGTAATCTTTTTTCTTTGCAATGCAACCTTCTATGCTTATTTAGCTTCAACTTATGAGGTAGCTTTAATCAGGGAAATTTTCGCAGCCATTTGGATGTATAATAGATTTTACATTCTCACTTCTGTGTCTGCTATAATGGGAATTATGCCATATTTCTTGTATGCCTTTCAAACTTTGTCCATTGCAATACAGTTCTTCATGACAGAGCCTTTAGCTTGCAAACCCTCTAGCCTCCCGAAATATCCTCCCAGTAAGGAGATGGATGCTAGAAGACGGGATGATGAAGCCCGGAGGTATGAATGCCTTGATTTCAGTCTCTGCTCAATATATGCCTGGCTTGTTTTGTGAGCTATTGAGAAATTTGGGCAAGTTATTTTCATTAAGTCGTGGTCTTTTCCCTAAAAGATGTTCTTATCTCTTCAAAGATTTGGCCATTATAATATAAAATGGCTGGTTCTAATGGTAAAGAAGCTGAAGATACCTGTGTTTTCTGTTTTTAGTTTCGGTTAAATTTACAAATATACTGCCTGGGCTTTATCTAGTTCTTGAAGTTTTAAAGGTTTTAGTGATGTTCTTGAACTTTTAATTTTGATTTGTTACCATGGAAAAGGAGCTGAAGGTATACTTAATTTACAAATATAATGCTTGAACTCTGAGAATTGTGTTTATTTAGTTTCTGAAGTTTAAGAGGTTTCAAGTTATGTTCATCAATTTTTAATTTCTGTCTATAAAGCTTTCTTCATTATGCATTACTTAAATGTTGATGTAGTGCCTCATCCGACTAACGAATGTTGATTTGGTACGACATAGTAACAGGTGTCCCAAAAAAATAGACCAACCAATAATAAGAGCAAGTAGGGTAAAACATTTGGTAGAATGGGTTGGCATAATACATTTGAAACTAATTATTTTTGGCTCATCTATGCTTATTTATCCAATATGCTTACTCTCTTAGAAGAGATTTCATGGAGTAAAATGGCTTACTCTCTTCTCTTTGTGCCACCTATTGACCTGTGTGATATTGTTACTTGTTAGTAATACCACATTAACGTTTAATTAAGGTGTTAACAAGAAGAGCTTATTAGAATTTAAATTGAAAGCTTAGATTCTAAATTGGTACAACTATCAAATTTAGAGACGATGTTTGTAAATTAACTTTAAATCTTTCTTCAAGTTAGAGTGTTAACTTTCTCCCTCCAGCACACAAGTGTGCACTGGGAAGATCAAGCGTTTGAAACCATCAGCACGGAGTGCACAAGTTACTAAAAAAAGTTTAAAAATAGGACTTGAAAGCTAAAAAATTTTGCAGCCGAACCGAGCATCTGAACAAAAATGATAGAATTCAACTAAACTGACCATACAAACCAAAATGGAATTCAACTTTTTTTTTTTTTTTTTGACAAAGCTTGGGATAATTGTTGCTATTATTCTAGTCCTGTGAACTTGCTGCGAGAGTGTTGGTGTTTTTGTTGAGCATCATTCTAAATCGGTTTTTGCAGACTAAGAGCAGCTAACAAAGCCCAGGGAGATGGAGTGAAGAAAACACGCACACGTGTTAGGGCAATTCCAGCTCCTGAAGCAAATGCAGAAATACAAACAAATATCGATGTAAATACTCCTCTGCTAAGTTCAAAACTGTCAACCAGCTAGACATTGTCTAATAGTACAGTATATCATTTCCTTAAATTTTTAGTGTTAAACTGTTTGAAATTGTTGTATCTTGAAACAGAGAAGGCGCTTAATTACACATGCAAATGCAAAGAGCAAAAGCGAAAAGTTCCCCCCACCACACCAGGACGGAGCGCTTGGCTTTACGCTAGGATATTCACGGCATATGGATCCATCTGGTGTTCCTCCCGACATACCATTCAGCTCGACGCTGTTCACTTACTCTAAGGAGCCAGTCCAAGTCTGGTCTGGTCCACTGGTCCCCGGTGCTGGCACTGATGCTCCACCTAGGCAGAAGAAGCATGTGGGAGGTAAAGGCAAGAAAATCATGGTCTAAAGTTTTGATAAGATTGTGATCATACTCTGCCTGTTTGCTGATAGGAGTGACATCAAATTCTTCCCACTGTTCATCCAAAGACATTGACAATCAATCAGCCGGGCCTGCTCTAAGCTGAAAAGATCATGAATTTTAAGGTCCAAGAGTTCGAGTAGCATCGATTTTTCGGTATTCATAGTTGCTTTGATCTAATTTTTTCCCCCTTGAGGAAGGGTACGGAAATTTTATAGATAAATTTGCTTTTTAAGTGATGAGAAATTTAACAAAGTTATGTATATGTTGATTTGTTCTGTCCCAAATTTTCCTTATTGAAGTTACCGTGACATTCTACAGAAATAGTGACCTCAGAGTACAAAAAAAATCATTATTATCGTTTGATCTAACTTTCTTATTCTTTTCTCCATAACACCCTTGTTTAAGTAATTTTTGGTGTTAATATTGATTGTCTCAAAAGTTTATGAAAGGTAAATGACCAAAACATCCCAGATTCTCTCGAGTGTTAAAAAGAAACTTTATTTGAGACTCATTTATGACCTTAAGAAGTAATATCTCACCAAGGGATTAGAACATGTTTCAAGTATGAATTTTAAGGGAAAAAGATGAAACTACCCTAAAGACCCTTTCTAAGAAATCAAGGTTTACTATGAATACAAAGTAACGATATGAATAAAAATATTATATGTTGAGATTATATGGTTGCCTGTTATGCATTAAAATAACATGTGTTGCACTGTCACTAAACTACTACTTTATATTATGGGACTTCATATTACCATTTCAATCATAAATTACTTTTCTAGATTGTATGCATACCGTTATGATTTATATTTTGCAATTTTTTTCTTTTGTGTTTGACAATGTGAATGTATGCAACTCCATAGACCTAAGAAGTATGAACATGATGCACACCGAATGGGTTGGTGTGCACGTGCACAATGTGAAAGTAATGCACGTCCAATACTTGCCAAGAAAAGAAAGTAAAACTCAAGGAAGTTAGGTTTTAAGTCTCAGCACTCAAGGTGGTTGATATGAACAAGAGACATCAATCATACAATATACTTCAATGAAAATGTGAAGAAAATATTATTGAAATTATCAAAAAGATATTTCATTTCATGCCATATTGAAGAAAGATAAGTTTCATGCTATAAATTTTGGGTAGATTACAATTTAGAGTAATTTAGAGTTATTGTATTTTATTAATATATTTTAAGACTTTTTATTTATTTTAGGTTACAATTACACCCTGGTTAATTATGGTCATTAAATATGAATGTAACAACTTTTGGAATGCCTTAGTAGTTTCATTTTTTAGGCTATATAAAGTCATGTATGTTGTATTTGTAATTAGACTTGGAAAATATAGTAAAAGAAACATTTGTGCTCTTCTTTAGCCAATGGCTAAGTTTCTTTGTATGAAAATATAGTAAAAGAAGCATTTGTGCTCTTCTTTAGCCAATGACTAAGTTTTTTGCAATTTTATATAGTTTAGGTTGCATGTAAAATCATTCAAGCTCAACATAATCAATCTTACTTGTAGAGTGATTCGAATCTCAATCAAAGTGTTCTTGCCTTGATTCGAATCTCAAACAATGTTATTGCTCGATCAACAAGATAATCTGAATCTTACTCCCTATGTAGTGGTAATCTGAATCTTACTCCTTTTGTAGTGATGTCCACATATCAATAGTCATAGTCATAGTCATAGTCATACTGCTTTTGAAGTTACAATATATTTTTTAACACTATTAGACCAAGGGACAATTATAGTAGTTAGCTACTGCATTTAGTATAGATTTTTCCATTTTAATCGAGTATATTATACCATTAAAATTTATTTGAAAGTGTTTATTCCTAATTTTAACCTTGTTATGCTAATCAAAGTTTTTTTCTTGATATCCCAAATAATGATTTGAGGCGTTTTAAAAAGAGTTTTACCATTGAACTGTTTCCTTAAAGTTTTCTTTCAATCATATCTCGAATCTTGTGGGCATCATATGAAATTTGTGATAACCGAGATTGAAATCCTGTAGTTGCAACATAACCGTATAAACACTAAAAATAATTGAGAACAACACATTTTTTTTCCTTCTAAGAAGTAATGAACTTACAAAAAAAATTAACCCACTTCCATGCTGCCCTTCGCACTTTATTGTCATTACAAAAAAAAAAAAAAAAAAAAAACAAAAAAACTCAAACACAAAGACAGACTAACGCTGCATAACAACCCCATCTGTGAGTGCACAACCTTTGAAGGCTCCCTCATACGAACCCATCCAAAATAATCACGCCGGTGACCGCATCTCTTGACTTTAAACTGCTAGTCTAAACATGGTTTCGTCACCAAAGCTTTAGAGTTTAATCTATCTTTACAAAAATATTTTTCTCTTAATTTATAAATAGTCATCAAAAGTAATAATTAGGTACAAATTTGGTCTAGAACTCAAAACTTTCAAATCTTGNNNNAAAAAAAAAAAAAAAAAAAAAAACCAAAAACTCACCACCAAAAGTAAAAACCAAACCATAACGATTTCTACAAAAAACAAGAGGGCAAAAAACAGTAGGCAAGAGAGTATCGACACATTCCAACCCTTGTCTGCTGCTGCTCGAAAACTTGACATGGTGAAGTAATTTATCCATCTTGATTCACATATCTTACATTTGCATAGTGCTAAGGGGGGGGTGTTCTCAGTGCCTACTCCTTTCTGTTGGCGATCCTGGAACAAAGGGCACAAAACCCCGGCCCCCGAACATTGGACGCATGAAGGCATCATCAAATTTTCGCCAGTAGCGATGAACAGTATGCGTAGGAGTCGCAAGGAGTGCACGGATACTGCTTGGACGAGGAATATTGGGACTATCAAGATCCACCTCCGAATCCTGTGCACTTCCGAGTAGCGGTGCCGAGAATGATTTTGGAGCCGCTGGTTCCGATAGTATGCTGGAGCTGGTGGTGTCTTTGGGGTGAGGTATCAAACATTTTATAAGAGGCTTGGTCAATATCCCAAACACCTGTTGACAACAATCGATATATATATGAAAAAACATCAACACAGCCATAGAATAAGGATCAAAAACACCAAAATTAAGAAGACGCCCTTGCAAAATAAATTAATTACAAGATTCAATCAAAGAAATTGAAAAGGAAGAGGCGTCGCATAATACCATCGTGCTAAAAAGGACAACAGTTACGGTACTAGTTATCATAATTGCATTCCCCCGCAGTTGAGTGTGGCCAGCTCTAGTGAACTGCATTGTAAGAGAGTTATTAACAATGGACAATAAAACGCTTAGTGGAGCTCTTCGTTTATAAACACTAATTAAGTGCTTCAGAACCAATTGTTAAAGAGAGTTTTTCATTGGCTAAAAGTATTTTTTCAAAACTCGCCCTTAAACGTAACGTTTTTCTCCATCATGGTACAAGAAATTAAATTTCGAACAAAATATACAAAAAAAAAAAAAAAAAAAAAAAAAAAAAAAAAAAAAAAAAAAAAAAAAAAAAAAAAAAAAAAAAAAAAAAAAAAAAAAAAAAAAAAAAAAAAAAAATTTCCCAAAAAAAANCTGATGATAAGCTAGAGCAATAGAGACAGCCCCTCTCATGAGACCAGCCCACCAAATTATAACCTAGAAAAGCAAAGAAGTGGAAAGTAATTTAAAGATAGGGTAATAATTACTTGAGAGAAGTGTTTAAAGTAGTGAAAACAAGTTGTAAAGAATCCATACTTGTTGCCTGAAGGTAATTTTCTCGGAAGCCGATTTTTTAACTAAGTTGGATAAAAATGATAATGGAAAAACAAAAGCAGCTCTTCCAACCATAACCAGGCCTAGTAATATTGCACTCACAGCAACAGATGTCCCTGGACTGCAATAACCGAAGAAAAGAGTTTTAAGGATTTTGAAAGTCATTATAAACAAGTCCTTAATATGCCACATATTCAGTTAACTTGCCATACCTATCACTAACATAGCTCCACTTCTCAATGTCCAAGGCATCCATGCCAACATAAACGAAGATAAACGTCTCTGAAATGAAGGATAAGGTAGCAAAAGCATGCCTGTTATAGCAGATAAAAAACCCATGAGTTAATGAGACTGAAGAGTTCCAACCACGTATTATTTGAGAGAATTACAAAAGGTTCAGCATTGCCTACTTAGTGGTAACTCTTGAACTCTCAGTCACATTATGCCATGTATAGTGTGACATTACAATTCCACAAAAGAACACTGTGAGAATGCCACTCAAATCTAATAACTGCATAAAATATCCACCAAGTAAAAGCGAAGATCGTCATTGGCAATGTGTCTATAAGCAATTAGAGTTCAATATAGTAATACAAAATACTTACTTCAGCCAGCATATATGAAAGGTATGCCATGAGCATCATTAGAGCAACCTCACGATCTGTCGAGTGCCTGAATTTTATCAGTAAATTAAATAATAAAAGGTTACTTCATTCCAACAAATTCCTCGTAAGAAGAGATGTCATACAAAATCAACCGTTGTAAAAGATTTAAACTCATAGGAACGTCATTAATCGTCAGTATTTCTGTCATAAGTTACAAATATTATTAATTGTGTCAATATTGCTGTTATAAGTTCCGAATATCATTAATCGTCAGTATTATTGTAACTATTGATAACAAAACGATACTTTACCGGGAAATATGTATAGTACGATGAATAAGTATTGCACTACCACAAGTTACTTGTCTATCACATACTAATGCATTAAGAGAAGGATCAAAACGAATAAAAATTTTTAAAAAATCTAGTTTGCAAAGATATACCTGCCAAAATATAACTTTTTGATTGTATAAGCACTCAGCAGCCCAACCTGTAATGGAATATATATATGATTCAATGTAATATTACAATAAACAGTTACTTGCATCCACACAAGGCAGTAGAGAGAGATTGATGAATGTGGAGAGGACTCACAAACACTCCGAGTAGAGTGCTCGTTGAAAACAAATAAAAGAAGCTCCCGATAAAATGCAAAGCAACTCTTGCATCAACTTTACTGAGGTCTAAGCTTTGAATTGCATTGAAAAGCACCACAGATGTAGCATCATTCACTACACCCTCCCCAAATACTAGACTGTAAAGTAGAGGTGTTTCATCCTGGTTTAATATCTGCACCATCAAATGTATTAAGATTCGTTTCTTTAGATGCCTCACTATCTATAAAAGTAAATGAACTTTATCATTGCTATATCTCGCACCTGCAATGTGCATACAGAATCTGTAGCTGCAAATATAGCTCCAATTGCTGGAATAGAATATTAAGACATCAAAGTCTTAAACGAAAAGAACTACAAGGATGCAAGAAAGGAGACAGGTAAAAAATAAGGATGTACCTAAAATATCGGCAATATCCAGTGATCCAACATCCATTCTCTGAAAGATCTGAAAAGCTCCTGAAGCGGGCACCACAATTGTCAAGCAACAATGAAAGATCAGATAATGATAACTCAAAATCTACAAGATAACTACACTAAGTGGTAAATAAAAATTAAAAATAAAATAAAATATAAAGAGTAAAGTAAAGGTAGAACTTAGTTGACCATAAGATTTAAAACATTGCAGAAAGTAATTAGGATCAAAAAGAAAAAAAAACACTAAATCGGTTGGATGCTAAAACGGAGTGTCAAGATATATCCATAAGAAATTCTATAAAAAAACAAATGCTAAAAAGGTTTCCAGATTACTTTGTTCAACTTTAATATTAGAGGAAATTTTTAGCGTTTCAGGGGCGCATTGAGCATCATAGGGTTTCAGTGTAGCAGTGAGAATCAGCTCAAGCGAAAAATAACTGAACACTAGTTACAGAAAATTATTGACAATGAATAAATAATATGAGAAGAATGACTTGAAAGATTGTTTTACAATTGTCATTACCAAAACAAGGCATTCATCATATGGAAGAATATATAGTCAATAACAAAAAAGTTGTTTGAGGATATACCTAATGAGATGATTGAACAAGAGACTAATGTACCAATTGCACCAAACAGCATAATTGTAATGAAGTTAACAAAGAACTGCTTCTTTTTCACCTGAAACCTGATGCAGATGAAAGAGATCAGCCAAGACAAAACACTAGGACAGGGTAGTATGAAATTCTGCACTAAAAGTTGCCTCGTTATAACATTGCCACCAAATGAGAATTATTGCAAAGGGGACTATTAGAAAGAACCATTAAAATCACAACAAAGACAGGTGGAATTTTTTCCCTCGATACATCTAAATGTTTTTTACCATTTCTTTAGTTCCTCTGCCCGGATGAAAAATAGTAGAACACTTCTGTTAAAAAAATTCAAGCAAGAGAATACAAAATGGAAAGGATAATAGTAATAATTTTGTTAAGAAAAAGTAGCCAAATTTCACCAAGGTTTATTGTGATTTACCACAAATCTAAAGCACGTAAAATTGTTGTTTACAGGGGAAAAGACTTATTCAAAGATGAAAAGGAAGAAACTCCAAAATTTTCCCCGTGTGTAAACAGCACTCATGGATACATTATAAATATATACAGTAATCGATATTATAGTTGCCTACTGCAGAAAGGCAGTTCATATTGACTTCACAAAATAAAAATGTTACACTTCATGCCAATATACATAATTCTTATGACACCAAACTAAAGCTTGTTTAGGACAATCTATTTTCTCTGATTTAAAGTCGCCAGTACTAAAGCCAATAAATAGTATAAATTCCCCTTCTTGAAATGAAATAACCAACTGATATACAAAATATCTATACACACACACATGTATACAATTGGTCCACAAAATTTGGCTGTCCAAAAAAAAAAAAGAGAAACAAACCTATTAAACCAGATACTAGAATAGTACAAGCACACCATAGAAGTATCTCAATCCGGTTAATTCTCAAGCAGTTAGAATACGAGATAATAACTCAATCAGGCCCTACAAAAGCATTCAGAAGGAATTATTTTGAACAAAATGCAGGATTTCAGTTCCAATAACTATCAACACCCATAAACAGTTTGCTAATGCTCATATGCTGTTTGAAGTTAGAAGACAAAAGCCTAAGGAGATACAAATGATTAGTGTTATTTCACTACGTTCAACTACAACTTTATCAGGCTAAACACATACAGAAAAATAATACATTGGCAAAAATATAAACCAACCTCAATGGAATATGTGCCTAAACACATCAGATCAAAATTTTTGGTTACCATGCACAGCACAAATGGCAACTAGTTTAATTACAAACTGAATCCTTTCTAAGTAAACCCGCTCACAGCTACGTATACAGAACAAATATAGTCATCAACAATTAGGTATACAGAAAAACAAGTCACCCATTACATACGAAATAAGCACTAATATAAAATTGTTCCAGAAACCTTACCCAGCATTGAATATGATAGGTGGCAGAAGATAAATGAAGAATATGTCTTCGCTGAAGAGCAATAAATGCGAACTTTTCCCACCACTAACCAGTAAAATGATGACTCCGGTAAACATACCCTGAAACAAAAGGGTAAAAACAATAATTTACCTTTACACAATCAACATGTATGATATAAGGGTGTACATGGGTTGGGTTGTAAGAAAAATTTCGAGTCATACGAACCCCTAGTATGATATCAAAGCTAGTCTTCTATTTTCCTTTTTCTTGTCTAAATAAAACATAGGATGAGAATAACAAACTCACAATGAAGAGGGCAGTGATCGACTCATTCATCCACCGGGTCTCCTCAAGAAGATGACCAATCACAATACAAGCACAGAGAAGAGCTACAAATAAGTTAATGGAAACCACAGAGGCATGATCAGAAGTGGACAACGTTTGCCACTTGGACATAACATAGCTCCAAACGGGTGTCATTTTATCAGCCTCTTCGATGGAAGAATCGGTTTGTCCAGAAAACAATTCTTTTGAAAAAATCGGTTCCAAATTCAAAATATCTCCACTTCCTTTATAGCAGAATCTAGGCCTCCGGACTTTCCATCTCAACAACTATTCATTCTCATTAACAAAGAAGTCCCTACATGATAACAGCATTTAAAAGAACAGTTTAGATTGGATCAAAAAGAAATTTAATCCTAAGGAGGCATTTATTGAATACTAAGCCTAGAAAATTGGAAACGAATCCGCACACGATACCATAATAATTTAGAGAAAAAAAACTATAAATCAAATTTCCTTGCGACTGCATATTATTGAAGTAAATTTTCCAGTCTGCTCTGTTGTCTCAGCAACATGAAAGCGAATAAGAACACACCATAACTCTCACGCATGACATGAATAGAGAAAAAAAAAAAAAAAAAAAAA